ATAAGCAGTCATGAAATACTTAAGGCAGCTATGATGTAGCAGTGGAGTATATTCCAGAAGACTGACTCTCCACTAGCACTAACTGTCCAGTTTTCTGAATTCATTACAATGTAACCACCACCAACCACCATCTTCTCTACTGTATCCATGGCCTTGGAGTCCTGGGTCTCTCCCAAAGAGATCCCAAAATCCCAGCATTGTATCAAACATCTGCTGACTTGGTTTTTTATTTATTTATTTATTTTATTTATTTAAAGTACACCCATTTCATAGAGTCTTTGTTTCCCCATGTCCCTCATAATTTGACTGCCAAGACTTGCTATACTATCTATAACACACAAAAAAATGGACTAGGTAGTTGGTAGAAGCCAAAATAGCGGGTCCAGATTATCATACAATGGGCACATTTTCTACCCTGAGTGATTGATTGTTGTCCTGGGGATCATTATAAGCCAACAGTCCTTTAACTATCTCATAGCACCATTCATCACTACCAGTCATTTGACCACTAGTCATGCAGTTACGTATGACAGTTAGATGGCCTTAGATCTCCAGTAATGGACCCCAGAGCCTGCAAACTGGCTTTGGCATAGCTGGCAGCACATTAGTAGGATAGTCTTCTTAGGAGATATTTTGGTGACAGAACCAGTGAGGTGCAGAAACAAAAGATGTTGGATGCCGTGAAAACATATAGCTGAGCTGCATCGGGTGGTACATCACTATATTCACATAGTTAAGTGAATTCCAAGGAACTCGACACCTGTGCAGTGGAGTGCAAAAAACAGACCAGACAGGCCACCTAAGCAGCAACTGATGCACTGTATGACAATAATGGGAAAACTATTTGCACTCTTAAGGCTATTACAAACGTGATATCTGTGCACTCTAGCACTGTATCAATGGAGATTACCATGGTGAAAGTTAATACCACAACTAACCTTGGTTGAAGAACATCTAAATGAATTGGTGATGCACCACGGGGAGCATTTGTATATGGAAGCAAGGTGAATCTATAGGCATGCTGTCATAGGGCAACCACATGGTGGTTAGCACATAATTTCTCTAGTTTGGAAAAAATCTGGAATGCCTCCACTTTTTGGAGAAGAGAAACAAAAGTCAGAATTTTTGGAGAGTACTTCAGCTACAGGGGCTGAGTAGAAGTGTAAGGTGTATAGTTTACTAGCAATTTTCTTACAGAAGCACCTAGTGACCCAGCACCAAACCATTTAACACACATATAATACTATATTTTTTTTTTATAATCGAGACTGTGCTTTTTCCTTGCTATATTTCCATCGCAATAGTTAAATTCAGATTTGTAGTCTAGTAAACATTATGATTGGGCATTCGGCCCTCATTTACACTGATTTAATTATACTGCCTTGGTATCAATTTATATTACCAATCCCTACAAAATACAGACACTGACAGTACATTTTAGAACTAGTTGAGCTGATTACTATTCTAGTACTTTTTTTATTTTTGGCCAGTAAGTCTTTCAACTATGACTGCACAAGCACAGAGTGCTGCACTATAATGCTCTAATTTTGTAAGCAAGCTCATTCACACATACAAAGAAGTGGTAAATACAGGCCTGGTTTTAAAAAGCGTTACACTTAAGTGAATTCTTGTTCAGTTTTTGTTTTACTATAGGAATACACTATTATGTCAGAAAAGTGCATTCAGTGCACTGACTGTTTTTTGTTTTTTAAATGCTAGAAAAATCAAAATCATACAAAGGGAAGGATTTTCAAAGGCCTAAAAGGCGAGTTAAATCTTCAAATTTTCAACTGGAGTCGGGCACCTAACGCCCTTGGTGTCTGAAAATCTTCCTCAAAGAAATTAAACCAATCAGGTTTCCAAATGCAGGTAATTTGCAGTCAGCTTTTAGTCAGAATATTAATTTAATTAATAAGTATACCATAGTCTTTGATGCTCACCAATCAGTTTCACTCTTCCTGAAGACAGTAATGTAGGATCATCCTTTTTGACATTATTTATTGAGTCATCTACTAACTCTTTGATATGATCAATTCCTACAACTCGTCCTTGGAGACCAACCTGGAAGAAAATCATACAGTTGAATAGTTTGCTAGTTTTGTTTTATTTTAAATGTCACGATTTCCATTTTCTGAGTTCACTTCTTTAAGTAAGTCTGCTCAGTTAGTAAAGCATTACCCCAATCCTAATAAAGCTACTGCTCAGAACCACTAAGTTCTGTTTTCTAGAACCAGTGCACAATATAAGAAGTGTGCCAATAGTTTTATCAGTTAATTTCTTTGTTGTAGCTACTTTTTTTTTAAAAAAAAGATTTTTTTAAAGGTGGTTTTGTTTAAGTTTGGTATCTTAGAGCATTAATACAGATTTTTCCCTTCACTATTAAACAGCTAAAGTCCTACCATACACAACTATATCATCTACTACTGGCAGCAAGAATTTCAAGAACAAGGTTAAAAGAAAAGGAGTACTTGTGGCACCTTAGAGACTAACCAATTTATTTGAGCATGAGCTTTCGTGAGCTACAGCTCACTTCATCAGATGTTTACCGTGGAAACTGCAGCAGACTTTATATACACACAGAGAATATGAAACAATACCTCCTCCCACCCCACTGTCCTGCTAGTAATAGCTTATCTAAAATGATCAACAGGTGGGCCATTTCCAGCACAAATCCAGGTTTTCTCACCCTCCACCCCCCCACACAAATTCACTCTCCTGCTGGTGCTAGCCCATCCAAAGTGACAACTCTTTACATAATCAAGTCGGGCTATTTCCTGCATAGATCAAGGTTTTCTCACATCCCCCCCACCCCCATACACACACAAACTCACTCTCCTGCTGGTAATAGCTCATCTAAACTGACCACTCTCCAAGTTTAAATCCAAGTTAAATATCTATTCAGGGGACACCATCACAGGGCCTAATAACATCAGCCACACTATCAGAGGCTCGTTCACCTGCACATCCACCAATGTGATATATGCCATCATGTGCCAGCAATGCCCCTCTGCCATGTACATTGGTCAAACTGGACAGTCTCTACGTAAAAGAATAAATGGACACAAATCAGATGTCAAGAATTATAACATTCATAAACCAGTCGGAGAACACTTCAATCTCTCTGGTCACGCAATCACAGACATGAAGGTCGCTATCTTAAAACAAAAAAACTTCAAATCCAGACTCCAGCGAGAAACTGCTGAATTGGAATTCATTTGCAAATTGGATACTATTAATTTAGGCTTAAATAGAGACTGGGAGTGGCTAAGTCATTATGCAAGGTAGCCTGTTTCCTCTTGTTTTTTCCTCCCCCCCAGATGTTCTGGTTTAACTTGGATTTAAACTTGGAGAGTGGTCAGTTTAGATGAGCTATTACCAGCAGGAGAGTGAGTTTGTGTGTGTATGGGGGTGGGGGGGATGTGAGAAAACCTTGATCTATGCAGGAAATAGCCCGACTTGATTATGTAAAGAGTTGTCACTTTGGATGGGCTAGCACCAGCAGGAGAGTGAATTTGTGTGGGGGGGTGGAGGGTGAGAAAACCTGGATTTGTGCTGGAAATGGCCCACCTGTTGATCATTTTAGATAAGCTATTACTAGCAGGACAGTGGGGTGGGAGGAGGTATTGTTTCATATTCTCTGTGTGTATATAAAGTCTGCTGCAGTTTCCACGGTAAACATCTGATGAAGTGAGCTGTAGCTCACGAAAGCTCATGCTCAAATAAATTGGTTAGTCTCTAAGGTGCCACAAGTACTCCTTTTCTTTTTTGCGAATACAGACTAACACGGCTGTTCCTCTGAAACCTGTCAAAAGAACAAGGTTTAATTTCTAACCTCATTTTGCTATGTCCAGTATCTTTCCTGGAAGATTAAAACTTTCTAGAGAACAATTTTAATTCAAAACCAAAAGCTACAAGAGTTGGTTAAATCTGATTTTGTGGTTCTACTATTATCTAAAATTTACCAACCGAGACAGTAACCATGGTATCTGATCATCCCACAAATTTATTAAGTCTAACATATACTAGTTTCTCTACTCCCCCAGTTGAAAAAATGTTTCTCTTTTTTGTAGGGTTATTGCAGAAAAGCCGTGTTGAAGCAATAGGTTTTGCATTTTTCTCTAAAGTCCCAAGATTCTTTATTGAGCTTGCTTCTGAAAGAGACCAGGATGACAGTCATGGGCCTAAAGCGTTGTCACCTGCACTCGTTAAGTCTCACTCTTGAGATTTGGAGTTCCATTGATCCAGTGACATGTAGCTGTTGAGGATTTAGGACTTGTCAACATGGGGAAACTGAGCGGCATAGCTACAGTGGAATAATTATTCGGCTATAGCCATGGCAGTATAATTTCCCTGTGTGGACACTATTCCTGAATAAAGGTGTCTTCCTAAAGTAGAGTAATTATTCTGGAATCATTTTATTTTTATTTTATTTTATTCCAGAGTAGAGGGTGTCCACATGGGAAGTTATACCAGCATAGCTCTATAGATACGCCAATTTCCCCATGTAGACAAGTCCTTAAAAAGGTATAATATTAGCACACGGACTTAAAACATTAACATATGTTAGTGTAAAAGGATACAGACTTTAATATGTGCTAAACTGATCAAGGCTTACACTAGACCTTTAAACATGTTTGTTTACATGTGCTAATGTAATGTCTTAAAATAATAGTTTAGGAATAGGCAAGGTCACAATGAGGTTGTGATCCCATGGAGAGACTGGTTCCTTGATAGGTGGAAACACTCTTGCTAAGTCCTTCAGAAATTTTATGACAGTCAGTTACCACACGGAAGACTGACCCTCTAAAGGTGCATGATGCACTGAGATCACTGCCAAGTGTACTTTCATTGAACTTAGAGATAGGTTTAGACAGTCTAGAATTATCTGTTAAAATTGAAACAATCAGTACCAAGGCTTCAGAGATTTCCACTTCATCCAGTAAATCTGTCCTCTAGAGACCTTGCTACTATTAAACTAAGATGCCTCCAGTAGGAGAGAAGTAACAATGTTCTATGCTTAATATCCATCCAGTAGCCAGGCCATGGGATAGAGGACTGGGTGTAGGATCTTTCCCTAGGCCTGCGACAACAGTTACCAGCAGTAGCGCCTCTGAACAGCCAGGAACCAGAACTGTCTGGGCCAGGTTGGGAAATTAAAATCAGTCTTACTGAGATCTGTTTGATCTTGCAGAGCAAACTGCAAATAGAGCGACACAGGCAAAGTCTACAATAAGCCTCCCTATCTACAGGATCAGAAAGGCACCCGTCAGGGAGCCCAGGCTCAGTTCTCCTTGTAAATAGAAGCTGTGGCACTTTGTCATCTTGTCTCACAAACAGGTCTATTTGAGAATGGCGCTCCTCTGAGAAGATGTCATGGAGAATGAGGTGTTCAACTTTTCAATTTGATAAGCATCCACTACTGTGTTCTGCAGACCAAGCAAGTGGACAAGCGAGAAATCTGATTTCTGATTCACCAGTTCCAAAACATGACAGCTTCCTGACACAATGGGGAAGACTTGACCCTTCCCTCACTTGTTGATCTGGCACATGGTGTAGGTATTGTCCATCAATATTTGAATGTCTTGACCTCTAATGAGAATCAGGGAAGATTCACAAGCCTTTCAGACTGCCCTAAGCTCTAGGAGGTTGATGTGCATTTGTCTCTCTTAGGATGTCCACTGACCTTGTGCAAGCAGGTCCTTCAACATGTGCTCCCCAGCCCAAGTGCAATACCTCTGTCACTACTGTTCAGGATGAAAGGGGAGGTGTGAAGGGAATTGCCCTGTAGACAGACATTAGGTCTTTCTATCATGATAGAGATTACTGGGCCAGGAGGGGGACATGGACAGGATCATAGCCAGGTGATATTTGCCTGGGAAGTATACCAACCTCAGCTATCCCTGCAAGCAGCAAGGTGTAGTTGGAGAGATGCAAACAAGTCTCCTAGATCCAGAGTGAGAATAATCAAGGCAAGGGTTACCATCCTGGACTTTAGCTTGCAAATAAATTTGTTTAGCTGTCTCACATCAAGATGGGTCACAATCAGTCTTTCTTCTTTGGATGAGGATGTATAGGCTGGAGAAACCCTTTCCCCAATACTAAGGCAGGAAATGCTTTAGTGCTCCAGGAGAAAGGAGGGGATCTCTTATTGCAGAAGATCCTCATGAGAGTGGTCCCTGAAGAGCAATGGGGAAGAGGTGTTTAGCAGATAGGCACCAGAAGAAGTTGTGTACAGTAACCCAACATTACGGCAATGGTATCCAGTCACTGGTCCAAGGTAGCAAAAAAAAAAAAAAAAAAAAAAAAAAAAAGAGAAAGGTGATTCCCAAAGGGGAGAGTTGGCTGTGGTTCTGGAGAAATGGGTCCATATCTCCCAAACAACTGATCAAAATTGGTGTTTTGAGAAAGCGTGAAACAGTTGGGTCACTGAGGAAGACACTCTCCTCCTGTGGAAGAGTTGTGTCTTCCTGAGTGGCTCTGAGGACCTCTAGTAGAAGAACAGTGAGACTGTTCTTTGGGGAGCTGCTGTCTGAAGTGCTTCCTACTAAGAGACAGGCCTGGTCTACACTACCACTTAAGTCAAGTCGCTTTAGGGGGATGTGAAAAAAATCACACACCCCAAGCAACATAGCTTACATTGACCTAATGCGGTGTCTATACTGTGCTATGTCGGCGAGAGACGCTTTCCCGCTGTCTTACCTTCTGCCTCTCGGGAAGATGGAGTACTGAAGTCAATGGGAGAGCGCTCTGCCATCGACTTATTGTGTCTTTACCAGACCCGTTAAATCACCACCACTGCATCAACCGCAGCAGCGCTGATTTAGCATGCCGGTGTAGACAAGCCCACAGAGTACAGATCCCAAGGAACTGCACCCTCAAATCACCCTACAATCCTTTAAAGCGTGAAGGGCTTCATCTGTCTTCACACTGATGCTGGCAGACCTGGTGCCAGCTCAAGTCAAGGCCCCAGGCTTCACTGAACACTGAAGAATGTATAGCTGGATATCAATCTGGATCACCTGTGTTAGTATTATTAAAATTAGAGTTAAAATTAGATATTAGAGTTAAGAATGTGCTTAGTATTTTGACTTTATGGAATGCTTGTATGATGCTGCATCTATTAATCCTACTTATGATATCTATATCCCATGTTATAAAGTAATGTTTAAATATTTGCTCTAATTATAAAAATGTTCACTAAAACTGTAAATCCACCAAGTCAGGGGAAAAGCATTACCAAGTATGAAATACTAGTTCACCACAAGAGGTTATCTCCTCCCCAACAAAAGGTCTACAGACATCAAACAAGCCACTGTGTACAAAAGACTTCAGTCATTGCTTCCCCTACGCCCCTGAAGAGGATACAAACATAAGCCCTCATCCCACCCCATCACAGCTTGAATGCTGGGGAAAGGGAATAAAAATGCCTGTTAAGAAGGAACTGTTATCCCTATGCTGCTTGAACTCTGAAGAGCAAAGATTTCTAAGCATAAAGAAGGGGTCCCCAGCTGTCTGGCTTGGGTTAGTGCAAAGGACATATAAAGCTTGCATATTATAGCTTCCTAAAGATGATAGCTGCTAAGACTGGATCTCATTTGTGTGTAAATAACTTATTTCTTTTCAAAGTTATAAACCTTTAGATAGTTTATTATAGGACAGGCTACAATCACTGTCTTTGATAAGAGAGCTAGAGTGCACTTGACTTGAGCTATGTAACTGGTCCTTTGGGACTGAGAGTAACGTGATATTGTTGTGATTTTTGGTGTAAGGGACCACCAATCATAAAGGCAAGCTTGCCTGTGTGGCAAGACAGACCAGAGTACCCAAGGGGACTGTCTGTGATCCATGTTAAGGCTTATATAGTGCTTTAGAAGTTCACAATTGTTATTTGGTTGGTGAAATCTAATTACAGAACATACAACCCGTTCGGAGTTTGTGCTCTGTTGCTGGACAGTTTGCCCTGAGGTTGGCACTCACACTTGTGAGCTGCTCCAGACAGCCTGACAGAGAGAACTTCTGCTTCATCCAGAAAGGAGAATGACAAGGTGACTGGTCCTATGGGTGTTAATGGGGGAAGAACAGTTTCCTCCTGTTTTTATTGATGCAGACCTGAGCTGTTGGGGGTTCAGGTGCCACCTGAGTAGCACTCATCTTGAATGAATGAGCCTCAGGCACATGTGGCCTATTCTAGGAAGTATTGCCTCCCATGAGGCAACCAAACCCAGTAGGGCCATATGGGCATGGAGGGGTATGGACTGGGAACCAGGGTACCTGCGAAGGATGAGGTGCTCAGTGCCACATCGAAGAGTCCTGGTACTGCCAGGGAGAATGAATTTGAAAGGAGCAGCAACTCCAGTTCCCATAGAACCAGGAAGTCTCTCAGTGCCACTACATGTCAGCCCTCCCCCCCCACAGTACCAACTCTTGTCAGACTCCTGATTCTACCATCAGCGCTAGTGGCATAGTATGGGATGCAGGGTGTACTAGTGCTGCATGTGACTTCATTGGTACTGGTCGGGAAGCAGTCAGTGCTGTATCCTGCACTGGTGAGGATTTTGATGGTGCAAGCCTCAGTGTCTCCTCAGGGTTCTGAGACAGCACCGGGTCCTCAGTGCTGCAGGCCATTCAAAGCTTATGTGGTAGCCACATGGGGCACAAAGTCTCAGAAGAATGGTGGAGGGGAGGAGATTGCTTCACCAGAGAGTTAGAAAGTGATCTTCAACTAGAACTCCATGCACTGTCTATGCAGTGCCTCTTCTCCATTTTCATCAACTTTGACTGGAAAACAATGTTCCATGCAGTAAGTCCGCATTTGCACTTTTTGGAGAGGAGTGTACAGGGGGATTCAGAAAGCCAGGATCCAATGCCAGCTCCATAGATTTATTTAACAGAAAGACTGGCAACTTTGTTTCTCTGTTCTTGTGGGTCCAGGATGTAAATTTGCAAATGATATTTTCTAGGGGTCAGAGACTCCCTGAGTCAGTAGACACATTTGATATGCCTATCATTAGCAGATACAGTTCCCTCACAAGAAGGCCATCTCAGGAAGTCTTTTTTATTGTTGTTGCCGCCAACACTTGAAGGAGAAGATAGGGCCACAGCTATGGAATGGATACTATTTTTTACACACTCTTCAGGATTTAACACCAACAAAAAAAAAAAACATTAATCTGTTAACATTGTACAGAACAAAAAAATCTTAACAGCACATCAGTGTAACAGGAGAGGAAAAAGCAATGTTAGGCATGAAGATTCCACACATCTTCAAGACAAGCCATAATTTGACTTCTTTTTCATGTCATCTCTTTTGAAGATTTGGTTCACAAGTCTTGTTCCTTCCGAACACAAAAAATGACCACTTGGGCATTGTAGTTTTAAATTATTAGCTACTGAGTTGTACAGACCAACAAAGCCTGGTTTTGGTTGACTGGGAGTAAACAACTTAATTAGCCATTAGTGGACGACAGGAAATAGAAATTGTTAATAGAAGCTAAGGGTTTTTTTTAATTTAACTTAAAGATAAAAACCTAGTACAACTTATTACCCAATCACAGCATAACACCTGCACCCAGTTTAACTATGAAGTAGAAGAATAGCAGATTAACCAAAGATGACTTGGTGATGGAAAACAAAGACTATGTGAATTAATGCAAATTATTCCTTGTACTCTTACAGACTGCTGGATTCCAAACTAACTTACTTCGCAAAGACAAAAGTGTCATCACAGAGAGGTGAGTGAAGAACTTAAACACAGCAGCAATCAAAAAAGCAAACAAAAATGTTAGGATACAGAGGGAGTGGAACTGATAATATACTATTACATGAGTCACAGACATGCCCCCACCAGGTAATAGTGTGTTTAGTTCTAGTCACTTTATCTCAAAAAAGGATATAGATGAAATAGAGAGGTTTGAAACAGGTTATTAGAAGCACAGAAAGACTTCCATATGAAGACACTACCTCGTTTAGAGAGGAGATTAATAAGAGGGGACACAAGAGTAGTATGTACATTAATGAACAGTATAAAGAAGGTAAACTGGATGTTACACAGGTGAGCTGATGAGAAGCGCAGAAGAAAAGAGGAAGTTTTTTTGCTCGATGGTTGACATTACTCAAGTGTCTACTGAAGAAAGATTTGGACAAATGAAGTACCACAAAAAGACCTGGGATTTTTTGTATAACCTTAGTAAGCTACCAACAGGAGCTTACCAACAGCAGACAGGAACATACTCGAACAATTATATAGACCTTCACTGGACACTAACACATGGGGAATGTTTGGACGTCAATGACAAAGACCTCGGTCAAACTGGACAACATCCATCACATTTTGCCACATAGGAAGCCCTCTCCACTCCAAGTTTTCCAATTCATTCATGATGCAGAGCTGAAGGACACTTTTCCAAATGCATAGATAGCTTTGATATTCTGCTCATGCTGCCAGCCACAGCCGTGAGTGATAAGCGCAGCTTTACAAAGCTCAGTCTCTTTAAAACAAATCTTCGATCAACAATGGCTGACGAGAGACTGACATAGCTTGCTATTTTATCGCTTGAAAATTCCACTGGCCAGTCTTTGGATCTCTCTGACGCTGTGCTTCACTTCACGAGGGCAAAGGTGAGAAAAGCGACCTTTTGAACTAAAGAACTAGGGATAACATTCTAAGGCTGTCACCTACTGTAACACTATTTAATACTGGTACACCCAATGTTGGTGCACAGTTCAATTTCTTCATGTTAGTACATTTCAGTTATTCTGAAATTTAAAAGTTTGTATAAGCTTAGAGAAAACAAAATTTTTATTTGCTTATATATGACATAAATAAATACAGAATTACATATCCTAATGCACAAATTTATCATCTTATATAACAGATAAATCATGCATGCAAATCGTGCAAAGACATGAAATGGGCTACAAATGCAATAAAAAATAAGGTATTTTAAAGTTTAATAAATGGAGACGGGGGCTGAAGATGCTCCTCGCCTGGGGCACCATTTGGTCTAGGGCCAGCCCTGTCCGGCACGATCCAAGTGTGGAGGGGCTTAGTGTAGAGGATCCAGGTGTGTGGCGAGAGGGTTCTGTGTGGGGCAAAATAGATGCGGGCAGCTCAGTGAAGGAGTCCAGGTGCAGGGTCTATGGGACTCTGCAAGGGGGGTCCAGGTGAGGGTGGTTGAGCCTCAGCGGGAGGAAGCAGGAGGGTGTGGGGGTCTGGGGCATGGCGGGGGGGGGGTCTTGGTGGCTCAGCAGGAGGATCTGATGCAGCTGATTGGGGCTCATGGGGTGACAGTCTGCATGTGGGGGGCTCGTGGGGTGATCCAGGTGCATAGGGGGTGGGACTCATCAAGGTGTGGGGGGGTGTCCACATGCAGGAGGGCGGGTCTGAGCTTGGGGTCAGGCATGGGGAAAGTCTGGATGCATGGGGGTTGGTCAGAAGGGGGAACAGCTCCCCTTACGTGACCCTTCCCCCAGTGACTGAGGAGCAGTGGCAGCAGGAAGCGGGGTCGGGGGGGCAGTGCAGAGCCAGGGGAGGTTTCTGGGGGTGAGTCTGAGCTGGCCCAGGCCGCTTCATGCGGGGAAGTGTGCTCCTCCCTCAGCCCCAGCCCAGCCAGGACTAGCAGCTGAGACTGGCGCAGGGTAGGAGCCATCAGCCAGGGTGGGGCTGGGGAGGGCCAGGTGCGGGGGTGTTAAGGACAGGGGGTCCAGGTATGGGGGGGGCCTGGATGCATGGGGATTGGGTGGATGGGGCATCCTCTGGTCCCCCCTCCTTCCTGCAGTGATTTACCTCTCCACCAGGTGTTCCAGGCACCCAAAATGACGCACCCACGCTGCTGAGAAGGGATATGTGACCGCTCTTGTGGCTTCCCTTTGCATCCCCAACAGAAAGTCATTTTTCTGCAGGGAAGCAAAGAAATCTGTGCGGGACACAAATTCTGTGCATGCACAGTGGCACAGAATTCCCCCAGGAGAAAACCCTCATACTTCAGACTATAAGACAACTGCTAACTGACTGGGGTTAGGAAGAAACTTCCCTTCAGGTTATTCCTTGGTTGTCCACTATGAGATTTAGTGTGCCTTATTCTGAAATATTTGGTATTAACCATCATCAGAATGGGATACTAAACTACATGTTCAGTTGTCTGATATGGTAGGGAAATTTCAACGGTTCCTAAATGGTTCCAGTTTCCTAAAGAAAGATTCAGCTGCTAGAAATCAAGAGAATGTACATTTATACTGTTGTTTTTTCTTTTAAATTTAACCAGAATAACATGAAATATTTATCCAGACTGAAAAATTTCTGTTGGTTCAAGTGGTTAAAACAGTTTGCTCACCATCCGCGAAAAACATGCTGTAAGAATTCCACTTCCAGATCCTACATCAAGGGCTTTGGCTCCTTCATGTAACTGTTCAGATAGCAGTTCTAGAGCATACGCATGCTGACAAAGAAAAACAAAAGGGCATGTATTTTAAAACTTCATTTTACCCACTGCATATTCACTTTTTCAGAGATTTCAGGTTATACAGGACAACCCAGTGTTGTTATAGGAAACTAACGTCAGTGTTCTTCTGCACGACAGCAAGAAAATTATTTTGATGCTTTTCCATCTAACTTTAACACATATTGTTCCCAACTGTTTCCTCTAACAACAAAACAGACTATGCCATCTCACTATTTTTAGGTCTGTAGCATATGGTCTTTTAAATAAAATCATTGGTACAGATTCTGCACTGCATTCCAGACCCTTTGTAACAATCTGATGATAAAGGCCAGAAAGATGTAGTCAGTTGAGAATTCTGCAACACACAAAGGAAGTGTGCTGGCACAGGTGGTGGTTGAAGTCAGCTATGCTCCAGCTATCCTAAGCTTGCAGAGTCTCTTGGAAATTGACAGTTGGAATATGAGAGAAGCAGCCCATAGGTTGCTCTAGCCTATACATCACCCACACAGAGTCAGAATAAAGAAGCCATAAAGAGCTCCCTGACGGCTGCCACACACCTAACATGCCACCTTGTATCAACCAAAAACTTATAAAGCAAAGCATATGGGACCAAAAAATCATTCATTTTTGGATTATTACAGGATGATCAATGTTATCCTATCATTGGTTTTTAAATCCATAATTAAGAGGTCCATATAATGCCATATTTTATAAGCCGAGTTCTCTGCTGCATTGGTACATAGCTCAGGTACAGCAGAGAAGGGGCTGGCAGGAAGCCAACCGCTGCTCCCTGATTTTCTTCGGACCAGCCCTAATTAAAGCAAAAGGGGCAGCTTTTATTCATACTTCTGGCATAATGTTCCTAATGTTAACTGCAGCAAATTAGGAAAAGTGGAGCCTTGTTCTGCCACCCCCTCTACTACCCCTTTTTCCCCCCTCATACTAAGCAGGCTCAGCCCTGTGGAAGACGACAGAGCAGGCACAGAAGACAGCATAGTTTTACAGTAACCAGAGATTCCCGCTACAGAAGGGAATTCTCCAGAGGGTTTCTCCAATCAATTAGTTTCAGTTCACTTTGCACTGAACTAAGCAGATGCAAGAATCTGGGGCCACATGCAATTCCACAAAGCCATATTTAAAGTTGGCCACATGCAATTTGATCAAATACAAGAAAGAATTTGAAGGCTACCCATTCTTTTATTTTAAGCCCACAAGTAAAGGTGACCTGAAAAGCCTCTGAAAGTAGAAGAGATTAAGGCTCTACTTCAGCAATCATTAACATGACCAACATATATACTCTTGTTATAAAAATCTGCATCTAGGTATTTATACTATAACTGGTGTGGAATAAGATTTCAATACTGTATAAATTTAATTTGAGATTACCCATCAACATGGAACGTGAACAATCTTTTTGCTGAAGATATTGTCACAATAACAACATGTCAAATATTTAGAACTTCAGATTTCTCCAGATGACTATAATTTTTATATTTACACTAGCATGTTCTCCGTTTAAGTTATGGTTCAAATGCATCAGCAATCTAATTGAACAGCCCTCGTGTATAAGATTCTTTCAAGACTAATCAATCTTTTCACAAGTCAAATGTCTGTTTTGTGCAATAAGGGGCAAACTCTCCCACTTCCTCCGTGTGTGTAAAAAGCCTTCTTGAAGCAGAACTAGGGTGGTTCTTCTGCATGAGGGGCAGGATTTTCAGGAGACCACAGTTTTATCCCCACCCTCACCCCATAGTAGGGATTCCAAGTGCAGCACAGGAGCTTAGGAGCAGGGTGGGAGGATCCATTGCTGTCTAGTCCTTTCACTTCTCTACCCCATCACAGGAATACTGATAGTGAAGGAATACTCCTTCCCATTCCCCAACTAAATTTCTGAACAATGTAATATATAAAGACCTATATATTTTTCAGGCCACAAAACCCAACTCTGAATTTAGTCTTGGCAATTGCTATGTCTCACCTAGACTGTCAGACTCCTAGGAAAATTATGAAACTAGTTTTAGAGCTCAGTCACAATAGCAGTGTTGATCTTTTCATTGAAGAAAACTAATTAATTAGTCTTAATAGTAAACTGATGACCTAAAACAGAAGTAGCATTTATTTAGAAAGGAGGAGAACAAAAAATGGGAAGATATGGAACATAGGAAAAAATTTTAACTACTGTTATTTTGTAGCTCTAAGTAGCTTCATGATTCTGTTGATTTGTAGCAGGTACCAACAGCAATGTAGCTTAGAGTATAGGCTGTTAAAAACCTACCCTGCTTTCCCATATATACATGTTCCTTTTTCCAATCACCTTTGAAAGGAGACTTCATTTTTTAGAACAAAAATCTCAGCCTATTGAGTTAGGCAAGAACAAAAGTACACCTCTACCCTGATATAACGCAACCCGATATAATATGAATTCGGATATAACACAGTAAAGCAGCACTCCGGTGGATCAAAGCAAGTTCGATATAACGCAGTTTCACCTATAACGCAGTAAGATTTTCTGGCTCCCGAGGACAGCGTTATATAGGGGTAGAGGTGTATTCTAATCACAACTCAATACTGCAATGCTGAAAACAGCTGAAGTTTATAATTAGAACCCAAATATGTGAGTAGCGCCGTTAGTAAGTTTGGAAAAAAGTCAGTTTAATAAACTGTAAGTTGTCAATGAATGTGTAACTTCTTAAAAATATGTATACAAAGTGTGTGTGTATTTTAATCCATCAGAGGTCTTCAGGTGTACTATCCTAGTTTTGGACACGACTGCTAAAAAAGGAACAGTTTGCACATAAACACTTTATGCACATTTTTACTTTCTACCTTGCTTATGTGACAGACTAGAGTGGCAATATGGACTCAGTGAATTTAGGCTGAACACTAAGGACAATTATTGATATTGATTTACTGTTACGCAGACTAGCTGTTGTCAAACTTTTAAAAGCTTAATGTTCCACTAAGAATTCAGAAATACTTGGTGCACTACTTACATAATTCTAATCAGCGTAGTTATAATAAATTCTTATTCTGATATTATATTTTGCTTTCTGTTTAAAGAAACTTGCATATCCTCTGTTTGTGGGACATGTGCCACCAGTGGTAAGTTTAGTACAGTGTGAGAAACACGAATCTACATTAAGATTCTGGAAAAAACAGTTACTCACCTTCTCATAACTGTTGTTTTTCAAGACGTGTTGTTCACATATACTCCAATCAGGTATGCGCGTGCCACATGCACAGTCGTCGGAAAGTTTTCCCTTAGCAGCTCCCATCTGGTTAGCTGTGGAGCCCCCTGGAGTGGCACCTTCATGGCACTCAATATATGACCCTGCCAACCCGACCCCCCCTTTAGTTCCTTCTTGCCAGCTATT